ATGTATAATAATAATAATTATAGATTTTTTAAAGCATATTGAATTGTTTGCAAAATTTTGATTAATAATATTGTAAAAAACTATGTTTTAAATATGGTAGAATAAATTAACAATTGCAACTGCGATTGTCAGTGGCTGAATCTTCGAAGGGGTAAAATTATTGTCCCCCGGAGAGGATACATACGTTCCATTTCTTTCAAAGTAAATTTATAGCTATCACAGTTTTAATGGCACTATATTTGTTAGTTTTAACTGAAGGTTAATATTGAGGTGAGGTGAAATTGGGTTTAACGTCGCGTCCAAGATTGTGGTGGCCTAACTATGGTTGCTGGCGATCTATAACCCGTTTTTATATTGTGTTGTTGAATTGTTGTTTATTCTTTTATATACTCTCAAACTACATGTAGTTTTAACTAACATCTGTGATATTCTAGTTATTGTACTGTCCTTTGACGACAGGTATTTGACAAATTAAAATTTCTTTGTAATCAAATGTTTGACTTTATCCCGTTACGATATGGCTGTAATATTGCCTATGTGACGTTAAATTTTAACTAACTCAGTCAATGAAACTTCCGAAATTCAGGATCATAATTAGCTGAAGAAGAATGCTTGGCTAAAGTTTCGCCTAATTTATTTGCGATGTCAGATTTCTCTGTTAGTATATCATTGCCATCTTTGAGATGTTTTATGCTGGATTTTGGACCCTTGCCTTTGATTCTTTGATTCATATTCCACACCTTTGATAAAGGTGTGCGGCAATTGATTTTGGTCATATAATTTCCCCAAGACTGACGTTTATTTTGATTGACAGTTCGTCTAACCTTTGCACTGTTTATTTTTACAATATTTAAATTATGGACTGTCGGGTGTCGGGGGAAAAACTTTTCTGCCTTTTTTCAACGCTTTCTAGCCTATTTGCAATCATCGCTAAACCATGGTTTACGAATGTGCGGGTTCACAGAGGACTTAGGAATGGTTTCATCAGCTATGTTTTTCAGCTGTTCAGAGAAGACCTGAATAGGGTCTGGAGCATTTCTAAATGTATCAGGTTGCAGTGCTTCAACACAACGGGTTTGAAATAGTGGCCAATTTGCTCTATGAAAATTCAACCTTGTTGAAGGTGGTACATCAGTAAGGAAAATAGATGTTAGATGTGTGGGGAAATGGTCACTTCCACATAAGTCATCATGAACTGACCAGTCAAATTCATTTAGTAAACTGCCATCTGTAAATGACGGATCCAATGCTGAATAGGTTCCTGTTGCCGGGTGTAAATACGTGTTTGAGCCATCATTAAATATACATAAATTGTTGTTTGTAATAAAATCTTCAAGGACCGTGCCCTTAACGTTGGTATCAACGCTTCCCCACGGAGGGTTATGGCCATTTAGGTCACCCATGATGACACAGGGCTTCGGGAGTTGGTCAAATAGAGACTGTTGAAGTTCAACCTGCTGAAGAGGAGAAGATGGTGGAATGTATAAAGCGCAAAGTGTGAAGGCAATGTGAAATGTTAGCAGGACTGGAACGGTTTGAAGATTGGTGGTAAGAGGAACAGCACTATGAATTATGTCATGTCTCGCCAAGATGGAGGAACCTCCAGTGGCTCTTGCTCCTGGAGGCGAGAATGAGTTAAGGAGAAACAGTTAAGTGTTTTATGATACATGAAGATTTGTGAGCGATAAAATTAAGGAACAACACAAGGGTATAGCGAAACTGGTGGAAACAAATTGAAATAGATCTTAATAAAAAATATTGTACTATACAACTTGCCTGTGCACAAGCGGTTACAACAGAAAGGATATTGCACAGACAACACAAACGTCTTTGACTATTTTGAGTGAGTGAGTGAGTATGGTTTTACGCCACTTTTAGCAATATTCCAGCAATATCACGGCGGGGGACACCAGAAATGGGCTTCACACATTGTACCCATGTTGGGAATCGAACCCGGGTCTTCGGCGTGACGAGCAAACGCTTTAACCACTAGGTATAGGCTGTCCGACCTTTTTATATAAGTTTCAATATATGTATTATGTTTAACTATTGAAAGTCACGATATGGCTGAAATATTGCCGATGTGACTTAACATTTTAACTCACTCACTCACTCCTGCTTGAACAAAGAGCCCGAATGTAAGCTTTAATTGGTGCAACTGTGTGTCCACATATACATTCTCTGCTGGCTCACGTCACATCTCCCATCAAGACAACTCTATTTTGCAAGCATTATTTAATTTCCGAAGACATTTTGAATGAAAGGAATTAAAATGAAATTCGTTTTATAATCATATATAACAATCCTACATCAATTTTGCCAAATTCAATAATTTATACACCCGTATTACATTTCGTTCCAATGACATGGACCATTCAACTAGCTCCCGAAGGTCCTAAAGGAAGTTAAAGTGAATACAATTTTATAGTGTACGTGTATATATGTATATAACTCTTAACTGCATATGATGATCAATTAGCCTCCTTCCTACTTCGAATGAGCACATCCTGAGTCTAAATCAGGAAGGTGACAGACACAATCCTTCTTTGTACAATGCATTATCATTTGTTCTCGTTCAATCTATTGTACTTAACATTTGAAGTCATTGTAAAGTTTCAAGTAGTACTGTAAAGGTGTGGTACTGTGAATGAAATTAGAATATGAATAGTGAACAACAGTCACCATATGGGTTGTACATGTATAACTTGTCTTCCAACGCAACGCCTGTGCCGCCGACACCGGGTGTCATGAAACAAAGTGGTTCCATAAAGGGGCAATTAGTTATGCAGATAATTCCCAGTACCCCCGCGGAGTGTTTGCGTAGCTACGGAGAAATGTTTACAAACATTCTGCGTAGTTCTCTCGTAGTCACGCAAAGGTTTATCAAACATCCTGCGTAGTCCCCGCGGATTCATTCTGCGGAAAGTTTGGGAAATAAAGTAAAAGTGAGTGAGTGAGTGAGTGAGTTGTGTTTGACGCCGCTTTTAACAGTGTTCCCGTCATATCACGGCGTGTCAGCTTAATGTGGGAGGAAAGCCCGAAGTGATGCAGGAAACCCACAAGCACGGGTATGGTGCTGACAAACCTAGAAACATAATCGGGGCGTACCGGGGCGAACCCACAATCATAGGTTTCTGGCGTGCCGAAGGGACGCAACTCTGCACAGCGAATTGCGGCGCCTTAGACGACTGGGCCACCCGTGCCCCCAAATAAAGTAAAAGACTTTTACGTTGTAGTGTGGGTACAACACTTCTGTAAACATTGTCATTCCGTTCTTTACATTAATCATGTTTAAGAATAAGTCTTATCATGGTGTAAACGTTCTTTATATAGATAGCGCGGGTCTTCACACTTGAATTGTGCCAATCGTGAGATTTAGACTTCTGGTCTCAGGTGGTCGTAGAAGAAGTGTGTTTGTTGGCGACATAGGCAAACTGTCCCATTTATACATACTCAAGTATTTTGTTGAATATCAAAAGATAACAGAATGCACATATGTACCTATATCAAAGTTGTATTAAAGATAAAGACCATGCAGAGCACAGGAGACACAGACATTCCATGTGCAGGAAGGGAATTTCTTCCAGGGGGTCCCAACTTGATTGGTACTTTCACATAGAGAACAAGATATGTATTTTTTTCTTCAGGTATGACCCAGTTTCTCTATCACGTTTGAAGTCATGAATATTTGTATGTGTTTTCACTACGTGTTCTATTTTCTTTTTGTAGCTCATCATTGCTTTGAAGTTTTAAATGTTATCACCGAGGCTTACAGATTTCAACTAAATCACGCTTTAGGTGTGGGCTTTTCATCATTCTTGTTCACTCAGTTCATCATTATCATCATCATCATCATCATGAAAAACGGCAGATTCTGTATCATAATCCGCATCAGCAATATCTACACGTGTCAGAATATCAATTAATCTCCAGCTGTCAATAATTTATTTACTCAAATAAATCTCAAGACAGTCGCGACATCTAACGTTGTGTAGATAAGCAGCTGCATTGAATAACTCCTACTGGGCTCTTATGCTGGTGAACGGCTTCTCCGTCATTCTAACCGTCCCCCGTGGCAGGAAATTCAATCTAGCACACGAGACACCTGTACGTATACAACAAAATTGTGAATTAGGATTCGGTTAACAATCATAAAAGGCAATACAAAGAGTGAACTATGTGACAGCTGCAATATGTAATTGGTCCTGTATTGATAGTCAGTGCACTCACGAATGTTCAGTATTTGTCATCATCGAATGTTTTTTGTGTGTGATTGAGGGGTTTGTAGTTAAAGGGTGTGAGTGGGGAAGCCACAGGGCAGTTCACAACATGAAGAACAGTGTTGAACAGCACATTTTAAGTTGTGAAAAAAAGAATATTGAGTTTAAAAAAGGGAAAAAACAACAACAACAGAACATGCGAAAGTACGAGTCATTTCCTCTGCGGATGAGGTGTTACTTCAGCGTAGGATGAGTAATCTTAAGTTCAGGGCCATGACATACACGAATATTAAAGTTAGTCATGTTTGTGTTGTATATGACACTGTGCTCAGACCATATCATAGCATGTTGAGACCCGTGAAGATCCGGGATAGAAAAGGTCTTCAGCAACCCATGCTTGCCGTAAAAGGCGACTAACGGGATCGGGTGGTCAGGCTCGCTGACTTGGTTGATGCATGTCACCGTATTCCAATTGCGTGGAACGATGCTCATGATGTCAATCACTGAATTGTCTGGTCCAGACTCGATTATTTACAGACCGCCGTCATAAAGATGGAATATTGCTTAGTGCGGCGTTAAACAACAAACAACAACAACATAGGATGTTGACTTTCCATTAAATAGCCTTCACAAAGCGTATGTATCAACTTACATTAAACTTCACTGTGACACACAGCCGTTGCACAGACATCAAAGCTTTATTGGTCGACTTTCGTGGTGAACACGTCACAGTGATCTCTGTCGATAACCCAGCCTTTCCGGTCTCCTTTCAACTCCGACATGGCTACTGTTGTTCCGAAGTACTCTGTGAGGAAGGCAACTCGAGCTGATGTAGCCGCCATAAAAAACTTAACAGACATGGAGAAGTGGGACATTCCAAAAAGCTTCATGTACTGCATGTTTGATATGGATTCAAGGGCTTGGTTTGTAGCTGAATCCGACTCGGGCGAAATACTCGGTAAGGTTGTTTTTACTTCATGGCATGAATGACATTGCTGGTCCACCTATATCCACAAATCAGGATAGATATCTGGGTTCTTGTTTGGGTGAGTGAGTGAGTTAAATTTTTACATCGCATCGGCAGTATTGCAGCCATATCGCGATGAGAACAAGGTAGTTTCTACAGTTAAATACCTGTCGACAAAGGATAGTAAAACAGTAAGTAAAATTCACAGTTTAGATATAAAACAAACCTAAGCAATAATAAAACAAAGAATGTTTAGCAGATTATTTCCTATCAATTAAAACCAGGCTATTGACCACAAGCAACCAAAGCTACACCAACCAACTGGGAATCATGGGGACTTACAGTGCTTTTGCTTCCTGCATGATTCCCGGCCGGATTTATGCTTGACTGTAATTAAGCAAAATATGCTTGACTGTAATTCAAAACGGAGGATCCTCACCTTTCAATAAATATTCGTGGGTGTAGCGACTGTGACCAATGCGACATCGTCTCAGAACAACTTCGTCGTGTCAGGACTGGCAACCCAAGTAGGTACATGTATAACCTAATTTGGGTTTAAATTCATGAAGTTTATTTGTACCTACTTGGGTATCCCATCTTTTCTGCATCAAACTACGAATATATTCCTTGATGCCTTGTTTAAAATCACTGTAGGGAATGGTAAAATGGGACATTGGTTTTGCTGCAGCGTCAGCTCGTGTGTTACCAGCAATACCAACATGACTAGGTAACCAACAAAGGACGATGTCGTATTGGGCAGTAGCAAGGTTATTATAAAGTTCTAAAATATCAAGAATTAACGGGTGGTTCGAGTTGACAGTCTTAAGTGCCTGTAGGCATGATCGGAGAAAATGATGAAGTGTTTACATACAGTTTGTTTTTGAATATATGTCAAGGCTGTGTGAATAGCCTTAGGTTCAGCAGTAAATATTGAGCTGTTATCCGGTAATCTGGAGGGAACAGTTTTTGAACCAATGATGCTGGCACTGGCAACTTTGCCGTCATCCTTGGATCAATCTGTGAAGATGGAGCGGTAAGAATTGTATTTAGAGCGTAAGTGGACATATTCTTGCTGAAAGATTAACTGGTTTTAATCAGATTTCTTAAAATTAGTAAGTGTGAGATCTACTTCTGGTTTGACTAATTGCCAAGGAGAGCGTGGAAAGTAAGCGGTAAGGTGCAATAATATCAAGTTCTATATGAGCTGCTGTTACATGGGGTCATAATCTAATCCCCAGAGGTGGCACCAGTTTTGGTTTAGTTTGAAATAACTCCTCGTAGAGAGGATTAAAAACACAATCATATGCTGGTTTGGACGGGTTCGATTTTAGTTTTGTGATATAATGTAATGCAAGTTTTAAACGACGTTGTTTCAACGGAGGCTCATCAACCTCTACATGCATACTATCAACAGGAGAAGTCCTGAAAGCTCCAAGACAGAGTCTCAAGCCCTGGTGATAAATTGTATAGTCTAATTTTGAGCGGATCAAAGATCGGTACTTTCAGCAGGTCTAATGCTTTCAGACACTTTGCCTTGAGCTATTTTATATGAGTCAAGAGTGTCAGGTGGCGGTCAAAAATAAGCCCCAGAAACTTGGTCTCCTCAACTACCTTTATGGGTGTGTCAGATAGAAATAGTTTGGGGTCTTTGTGCTGTCTATATTTCCTGCAGAAGTGTATACAATTAGTTTTTGTTTGAGAAAATTTAAAGCCGTTAGCAAGCGACCATTTCTAGATTTTATTGAGACACAACTGCAGTTGTCTCGACTAAATGGTCGATAGTACTTTGGAAACCACATTGGATATTTGTAATTAGATAATTGGTTTCCAGATACCAAATTAATCTATTATTCACCATTCGTTCCATGGTTTTACACACGCAATTTGTTGAGGATATAGGTCGATAGTTAGAGGGATCTGTGTGATCCCGGCCAGGCTTTGGTATTGGAACTACAATGGCATTATGCCGCGAAGGAGGAAAATTCCCTGAGGTCCATATTTGATCAAATATATCTAAAAGTGTCTCCAGACATGATTCAGGTAAATGTTTTAAAAGCTGGTAGTGTATGTTATCAGCTCCTGTTGCTGTGTCATGAGCTTGCCAAAGGGCGGTATGTAGCTCATGTAATGAGAAGAATTCATTATAGTCTTCGCCATTATCAGAAGTGAAAATGACTTTTATCTTTTCCTTTTGTTTCTTAATTTTTTGAAACTCTGGGACATAATTAGATGTTGAAGAATGTTTGATAACGTTTCTCCAAGCTTATTTGCAATGTCAGTTTTATCCGTTAATAACGCGTCACTTTCCTTAAGATGGCGAACAGATGATTTTGAACCCTTGCCTTTTATCTTTTGTACCATGTTCCACACCTTGGATATGGGCGTGCGGGAATATATTTTGGAGACATAGTTCCTCCAAGACTGACGCTTATTTTGTTTAAAAGCACGCCGTGCCTTGGTATTTGTAATTTTAACCTTATCTAGATTATTGACTGTAGGATGTCGGCGGAAATATTTTTCCGCTTTGTTCCTACATTTTCGTGCTTGTTTGCAGTCATAGTTAAACCATGGTTTACGAAGATGTGGATTAGCAGAGGACTTGGGAATTGCTTCATCGGCAATGTCATTCTGTAGGTCCGAAAACAACTGTATCGGATCTTGAACATGTTGAAAAATGTCAGGTTTTAATTTTCCAGTACACAATAATTCATATAATGACCAATCAGCCTTTGTAAAATTCCACCTACTTGATGGTGGATCGTCAGTAGGGTTAACGGTTTTGAGAATAGTTGGAAAGTGGTCACTCCCACAGAGGTCATCATGAACCAACCATTCAAATTCATTGTAAAGGATTGAATCTGTGATTGAAAGATCAAGTGCTGAATACGTTCCAGTGGCAGGATGTAAATACGTGTTTGAATCATCGTTATATATACAGTAGTGTCAGAAATAAAATCTTCAAGGATTTTCCCCTTATTGTTTGTATTTGAACTTCCCCACAAAGGGTTATGCCCATTTAGATCACCCATGGTGATGCAGGGCTTTGGCAGTTGATCATAAAGATTCTGAAGTTCAGACTGTCGAAGGAAGAATGTACAAGGAACACAAAGTAAGTGTAATGTGCAAAGTAAGCCGAATGGCCACAGCTTGAAGATTTGTAATCAGAGTAACTGATGTCATGTCTGACTAATATAGTAGAACCACCCGTAGCTTTATCGCCTGGAGGCGAAAAGGAGTGATGACAATTATATTTCCGTAAGGCAAAGTTATCTGTATGCTTGAGATATGTCTCTTGGAGACATACTGTCGATGGTTTAAAATCCTGTATTAACTGTTGTATTTCATCAAAGTTCTTTCTCAGTCCTCTACAATTCCATTGTATCATATTAGACAATTGAGTCATGGAGGCTCAATTGGAGACCTCTCACGTGAACGTGAGGACGAATTGCTCCTACTGTCCAGTACAGACAGAGTAACCTCCATGTCAAGAGGCTCAAAGGAGTTGTGAAGAGATAGCTCTGGGGGCGAGGTTGTCTGAGATGTTTGTCTTCTATTTAATTTCTTTTTTTTCCTTTTTGTCAAGTGAGCTGTCAAGTGGTTCAGTGTTTTTGTTTTTTTCTGGGACAACTGTGTCAGGCTGACTAGCAGGCAGAGTAGCAGTCTGAGTGTCAGTCTGAGTTGCAGTCTGGGTTGCTGAACTGGTCTGATAATCGGATGTTGGCTGACTGATTCAAACGGTATTTATGGGTTGATCAGAATGGACCCATGATAGATCCCTTTGGCATGTGATTGACTCAGTGGCAGTTGATGTAAGTGCAGAACGGGTAACTGCAGCAGAGTATTGGTTGATTGTTTGATTGTTTATTGAATTGTTTTCTTGCTTCTGCAAAAGAAATGCTATTTTCATACTTCATTTTATTTATTTTTGATTCAAGTTGCCACACAGGACATGACTTAGAAGAAGACAAATGTTGGCCACCACAGTTAGCGCAAACAATGTCCTCCTCACAGTCTCTACCCTCTTGGCTGCCAGCACAACGATGACATTTGACAGGTTAAGCACATGATTTTGAACCATGGCCAAAAGTTTGACATTTATAACATCAAATAGGATTTGGGATATACATATCCACTCCAATTTTGACATATCCACCCTTGATTGACTGCGGTAAAGAGGAACGGGCAAAAGTGAACAGATATGTATTTGTATTGCTGACAACTCCATCTTTGTTTTCGGTAAAACGTTTGACAAACGTAACACCTTGGTCATCCAGTTCAGCAACAATTTCCTGTTCCGACATATCAGACAGGCAACGAGCTCTGTCCCGAACTATTCCCCGACACGAGTTCAGTGTTCTGTGCACGGACACAGCAACATCAACATTGGCAAACTGAGTAATTGATAAAAGATTCAGAGATTGCTGTCTCCGTGCACACTCCACAAGTAGGGAGCCAGACCAAAGACGGGTAACATGTTTTACTACACCACAAAATCCAGAAACAGCTTTGGAAATGGCAAAAGGGTTCAGTTTTAATGGTTGATGATTAGCAGCCTCGATTACTAGAAAACGAGCCCAAGAATCATTGTTTTTAAACAAAGTTTCAGGCGAACTGTCATTTTCAAGTCTTCTCTTCTTTTTATGAAGAGTTGAACCAGGTATTTGTTGCGCCATAATGAAAGGAATTTATTCAGCACCCCTGTTCCCCGACCGCCATCTAGTGTAAAAAAAGCCGATGCTGAAGAGGAAGCCAGTCTACAACACCAGGGTTACAGGGTTACGCCAGTAAATACAAAACGAAAAGCTATATTTGTCTACCAAAAGAAATGCCCAGCTGGTTCGGCCCGTGACAGAACATTGGAGACATATAGAATTCGGAAGTTGACATCACCAGATTGGCCCATGAGCCACCGCCTTCTGGCATAGGACTCTAGGCAATAAGTACATTGGCATAGTTGTTTTATATAATTGATCATCATAAATTATTTGATATGATGTTTCTAAAATGATTTTTTACATGCACAGGGCACGACGTGACCAGCCGATTGATAGAATCGTGCCAATTCTACCACCCGTCTAGGCGAAGTAAGGGTCGAAGTGGTGTGTTGGGCAAAAGTTCCCTGTTCCTGGCTCCAATGCCCTCATCCACCAGACTCCCGTCCTCCGCCGACACAGGGGCGCAACCCAACGCCTTTTACGACCAGCAATGGGGTGCTGTGGACAAATTCTACCCCGAGTCCACACGGGGGAAGAGCTATTAGCGTTACCCAGCACTCACCACGAGGAGGTTGCTCTTCACGAGTGCCTTCTTGTTTGGGGGAGCGAGTGCGTACGCAGGTGTGTGAGATGGTAGGTGTATGATTGGTTTGGGTCTTCTGTGGGTGAGCAGGTGACTGAGCGTAAAGCGCTTGTGCGGTAAACATATGAGACATAAACGAGACTGCTTTAACAGACAGACAGACAGACAGACAGACACAGACAGAAACAGTTTATTCAGTAATTTAGTCATCAAGGCGAATAGTACAATGCAGGTTGGATAGTAACATTTGTCACGTTATGTAATCTTAAATCTAGTTACACATTCCTCATTATAAAGACATGTTTTAAGAATACAGAAACAGAATGGATCATATTAAGATTTTCGGACTTTAGCAGAGTTATCATTAACTGACGGTCTTTAAAAATACCTTGCAACATGAGGAGAAATTTATACTTTAAATGGGAATACATTTCACACATAATTAAAACATGGTATCCATCCTCTACTTCTCCGGGTGAACAGTGTGTACACATAGAGTTCACAATTTCACCGTCTTTGGACCTGCGACAAACATTTACATAAAAATTGTGCAATGAAATTCTAAGTTTACAATAAGCTCCTATTAAACCTTTCTCATTTGAACAAGTTAAATATCTTTCAGTTTGTAACAATGATTTTACTTTGCTGTAATTGCTAAGATAAAGTGATTCAGAAATACTTTGGTGCCACTGTTGACAAAATATATCCTTTAGTCCTTGCTTTATTGAATTTGAAAATAATTGTGGTTCTTGGGAAATCTATACATATAAAAAGTCACTAACAAATAATATATTTCTCCCATCTGAAACCCAATTATTTTTACCAGTATCATCAAGTACCTTTACCATGCTGTAACACTGATATGGGTATCTATCAGGCAGCATTCTAAGTAATTCAATCCAATACTTATTTACCCTTGATTGGCTGGCTACAAAACTATTACTACGGCCTGTCTGATCAAGGATTGGCTTGTCTGAGTCAAACTTCCCAACACCTACAAAATATTTGAAATATGAAGTGTGAACATTTTCAATTGCAGCGTAAACTTAAGTTTCATTCGTCATGCTTCACAATCCGGACGAACACAGCAATTGACAAGCGCTAAATGAGCAGACAGCACAACCAACAACTTATGTTCCAATTGCCCACTCAAGGTCGTGTTTTGTATTGCAATAAGTTTGTTTTGTTAAGGATGGTATGTTATACATAGGGAGAATATAAACTAATTGTCTTTTTACGACTGCAGTGCATTTATTGGCTGTGCAGGTGGTGTGTATACGATTAACTAGCTACAGAGTTTTGCCAGCGACAGAGTACTGGTACATGACTTCAGGTTATTTTGATTAATGTAATACGATGTTCCTTATGGCCGTTATGTGACATTTATAGTCGCCATTGTCATCATAATTATCTTGAATTTGGACTTGGACATTCACTGTAAATTTTAGTGCAGAAAACAAATGCTCAGGCGGAGGTCAACCTCGATTACACACTGTATTATATGTCCGTTCTAGGATTATGATATCCTGGAGCCATTCCCTGCCATAGCTTAGAATATTTCATATGAACTCACATGATATTTGTACTACTATTCCATGTCAGTTAAGATTCAGTTTAATGTGGCTACTAAACTAAATGTTAGCGTAGCATCATTTGACTGAACCAGAGCTGTGGACGGATTACTGTTAGGAGTTTGACAGGGCGATTTAACAAATTAGTTTAGATACAGGCGGATCTCCAAGAATATACTGTCTACAGACAGGTTCGCTAAAGTGTGTAACTACCGACGTTGCATATTTAGTCGCATGTATATGTCATTGACTGACAGGCTCGAGGAGGTGAACCTTGTCAGTAGGCCAAGGCACACCTGGTTGTTTAAGTGAATTGCAGTGATATTACATACCACTATCGTTAAGCTGAATATAGTTTTGGAATATGATCCTCTTCACACGTTTAACTATACATTCAACATTCTTGGGAACAACTACTGTGTCGTAAGGATATAAGGGTTATATATAATATGGTGAGTGATGTAAATTCAATCATCATCATCTAGCATAATACAATTATAGCCTTGATGTCAGACCTGTTTCAGGCGAGTAGTTACAGATTCATACCTTCCCCCTGATATATTCACAATGTTCGCCCCACTAATTAACATGAGTGAGTTCGATTTAACGCCGCTTTTAACAGTATTCCAGTCATATCACGACGTGTCAGCTTAATGTGGGAGGAAAGCCCTAAGTGATGCAGGTCTCAGACGTTTATCACTTCGGTGAAACCCACAAGCACAGGTATGGTGCTGACAAACCTAGAAACATAATCAGGGCAATCCGGGATTCGAACCCACAATCATAGTATTCTGGCGTCCCAAGGGACGCAACTCTGCACAGCGAATCGCGGCGCCCTAGACGACTTGGCGACCCGTGCCCCCCTAATTAACATGAAGCCATATCAGATAATCTACACAATTACATGAGCGAAGACCAGCTGGTATATTATAGAGTTGGTTAATTGGTTAAGAATCATGGATCAATCATTGTTCAGTGTGTCATCACTCGTGTACCTTTTGAGCTGGGACTGCCTCTGTGGTCTAGTGGTAACACATGAAAAGAAGCTACAGCTATGTCGAAGCGTCCTGTATATAATCAAGTACGTAGCAGACACACCAGTGATTGATATTAACATCAGTCACCAACGCAATCTGAATACGATGATGGATGATAATTGACAGAGTCTGACAACCAGATCCATTTCGTCGACTCTTATGAAAAACATTGCTTGCTTACAAATAATCTACATTGAGCATTTCATATAATATATGAATGTAGGTTTTACATTAAGACGTTTTACTTTACATCATTCTTATATATGTTTTTTATATCTATGTCCTGTACTTTTTAACAGCTTGTCGAGCCTTGGCGTTTCATAACGAGAAGACAGTAGCCGGTGGCATCTATCTTGTAAGGAAAGACCTCAGAGGCAAAGGAATCGGACGTGATGTGAACCTTCAATCACTCAAGGCAGTGGGTGACGCAAACATCGTCATATCAGCTACTTTCGTTAACCTTTACGACACCCATGGCTTCACTTTCTATTATGACGTACACCAAAAACGTGGGCCAGCGGAAGTCATACTGGGGGCAATTCCTGATGCAGTACTGAGTTCGGATATCATCATTGTCCACTTTGAAGGCTCCATGTTTACTGAGTTGAAGGCGTACGACGAGAATGTATGTGAAAGCGAGAGGGATTACTTCTTCAAAAACTGGATCATCAACCATGCAAAATATATTCTTATTGCTCGATCACATGCCGGGGGTGTCGTAGGATATGGATGTCTGGGTGTGACAGAATACTCCAATGAGATTGCACCTTTATATGCTGATAGTGACAACATTGCTTTGGCACTATTGAAAGGAATCTTGCAACTCTTAAATCCAAAGAAAATTGTTGATATGTTTATCATCTCAGAAAACAGAGCAATGATGGAGATTGTTGACAAAGTTCCTCTAACAAATATGTTTACAGTTCATAAAATGTACACTAAAATGCGAGTACCCCACACCCTTGAGCGGTTGTACTCCTTATCTGCCAGCGAATTATCCACCATATGATGCATTTCCATACCGAAATATATTTCCCTTCCTCGACGTCCTTTGTACCACTAGATGGACATACATCTTCAGTGTTTGGCATTAAGCGAGTCATTTATGAGGCAATGCTTATAACATGCAATACTGAACAATATGGTGTGAGAAAATGTTCAAAGGATATTTTACCTTTATTTTCCATTAAAATCAATTTCAGTTGACACAATTGAAAATTATAATGTATTGCACTATTTAAACATAATAAAACCTGACCAATAATATCAAATGTATAGTGTTGTGATTAGGCAGTGTTGTCCAAAGACTTTCTTTAACAACAGTTAACCATTTAGGGGCAGTCTTGGTTCGTAATAATGACTGACCCATCGGTGTCCACCCACACACTTAAACAGACTGTACAACTGACTTTTTCTCAGTGCATGAATGATACTGCATCCACGGTTATATTACACCTCAGTAAGCCCAGGCATGCGAATAACGTTCACTGCTACTTGGTGTATAACGACAGGTGATATGTCACAGGAAATTTCAGATTTTGATCACGCTTGTGTTTTGAGAAAAAATGCACATAATCATTAAGTATGATTTGTATGGACATACACTTTTATTTATTTTTTGATGGACCGTGGGTTTCTTACCTACAATATCCCCAGTCACTTCTCGCAAACTCATAGATTCACAACAACACATAGGAAATACTTAGTGGCGACATCTGAGCTCCGATTGATGAGTAGCTGCGTTAAAAAACACTGGGCCTTAATGCTGGTGAACGGCCATCCCACCTGGTAGGAAAGTCAATCAAGCTAACGGTAGGTGGATGACCGTTTCTACCAGATAACTATAGACATGGCTGTAGCAGATCACATTACCTCAGTGTTTAACTTGTAATTACCAACATTTCAACATCACAATGCATTTACCCTTCATGTCAGGAATGTGATCATTTCACCAATTTGTACAAATAACTGAACATATGTTAACATACTCATATTAGTCTCTTGTTGTGGTGTACGGCTTCTCTGTCGTCGAAACTGTCCCTCGGGATATAAATTTCAATCCGGCACACAAGTACTGGATGACACTGGATGTGTCTCTACCAGATAACTTTAGATATAGCTGTAAAAGGATAACAGAACCTCAGTGTTTCTCAACACAATACATTGACGCTTCATGTCAGGAATATGTGATCATTTCACCATTTTGTACACATAACTCAACATTTGGTAATATATGCCTACCTAAACACAACTTCTGCTACCAATTATCATGTATATACTTTCCTTAAATAAAAAATAGGTATTATATATTTCTACCTTAACTCTATGATTATAACACGTCCCATTTTAATTCTGGAAACCCAAAGGTCCAGAAACTCTACGCTCTTTGCCCAGTCTCGGTTAAAGGTATTTACAAAATTAAACATGCCGTTTTCATGGGAACATACCAAGGAAGAAAATTTTTTTTAAAAATTGTTTAAAAACTCAATATTTAGACTATGTCGCCCATGGGCCTGCCCATGGGCGAAGTCTGGCCCATGGGTAGGCCCATGGGCAGGCCCATGGGCGAGATCATGTTCCTTTACTTAAAACTCATGATTTTGTTTCGCAAATACATTAAATGTATTTATTGAAGTATCATGACACAAAATTAAACTCATTTTAACTTAATTCAACGATTTTATAGCGATATTGAAATATTTCGCCCATTGGCGAGAAAAAGGTTTGGCCCATTGGCAGGCCCATGGGCGAGAATATGTTCCTTTACTTAAAACTCATGATTTTGTTTCGCAAATACATTAAATGTATTTATTGAAGTATCATGACACAAAATTTAACTCATTTTAACTTAATTCAACGATTTTATAGCGATATTGAAATATTTCGCCCATGGGCGAGAAAAAGGTTTGGCCCATGGGCGAAAATATGTTCCTTTACTTAAAACTCATGTTTTTGTTTCGCAAATACATTTAATGTATTCATTCAAGTATCATGACACAAAATTAAACTCATTTTAACTTAATTCAACGATTTTATAGCGATATTGAAATATTTCGCCCATTGGCGAGAAAAAGGTTTGGCCCATGGGCAGGCCCATGGGCGAGAATATGTTCCTTTACTTAAAACTCATGGGCACTCGTGAAGAGCAACCTCCTCGTGGTGAGTGCTGGGTAACGCTAATAGCTCTTCCCCCGTGTGGAACCGGGGCAGAATATTTCCACAGCCTCCCATTGCTGGTCGTATGAGGCGACTAAAATGGGCAACCTGTTTGCCGTGGGTTGCGTCCCTGTGTCGGCGGAGGACGGGAGTCTGGTAGTTGAGGGCACTGGTTCCTGGAACTGTGTTCCTTTGCCCAACACACTACTTCGACCCTTACTTCGCCTAGACGGGTGGTAGAATTGGCCCGGTTCTATCAATCGGCTGGTCATGTCTAGCCCTGTGCTGGAAAATTGTTTGTATATTCTACTACATTATATTGTATTTTGGCTTTGAATGTTAAACATTCTGTAAATACGTTTGCCTAGAGTCCTATGCCAGAAGGCGGTGGCTCATGGGCCAATCTGGTAATGTCGACCTCTGAGTTCTGTATGTCTCCAATTTCTTGTTATGAGCAGAACCAGCCTAGCATTATTATTGGTAGACAAATATAGCTATTCATGCCGTATTTACTGGAGTATATCACCCTGGTATCCCCAGTGTTTGCATGCCGGATCTCCGCTGCAGTGAAACACTGTCCTTGTTGACACTCCGTGGTGGGTGAGGAGCAGGGGTGCTGAATGTTACTACTACATCATGTCACTTACACATTCTGGTTCCGTTAGAAATGACAAGAAAAGGAGATTAGAAGCTGATCATCTCTCATGTCATGAAGATGTTTCAGTTTCAAAACAAGAAACTTGGGCCAAATTTATTGTCATTGAATCTACAAATGGAGATCCACTTCAAATCAATCCTTTCGTTATATCAAAGACTATTCAGTCCATCTGTGGAGAAGTTAAGAACGTTTCACGTCTCCGAGGCGGTTTGCTACTTGTTGAGTGTGATAGACGTCAGCAATCTATAAATTTACTAAAACAGCATCAATTTGCAAACATCAGTGTCGCTGTTTCAGCGCACAAAACACTAAACTCTAGTAGAGGCATTGTTAGAGACAGAGCCCGTTGTCTGGCGGACATGGCTGAGGAAGAAATAGTTGCCGAACTTAAAGACCAAAATGTCACGTCTGTTAAACGCTTCACTGTCAAGAAACAGGATGGAAAAATTGTACCCAGCAACACCTACCTGTTTACATTTGCTTTATCTACTGTACCCAAATCCATAAAAGCTGGCTATTTCAATATCGGGGTGGAGGTGTATATCCCCTCTCCACTCCGATGTTATACATGTCAAAAGTTTGGGCATGGTTCCAAATCCTGCCGTTACTCTCATCGTTGTCACCGCTGTAGCGAAGATCATCAGGACTCTGATTGCACTAAAGATCCTAAATGTGCAAATTGCAGTGGTGACCATCTGTCGTCCTCTAAATCTTGCCCTGAGTGGCAGATTCAAACAAAAATCTTGAAATTAAAATATGAAACCAATATCCCTTTCCATGAGGCTAAACAACAAATTCTGAGCCAGACTCCAGCAAAGTTATCTACTTCTATCTCCTACTCAGCTGCTGTCTCAAACAAACCAAAAACGGTTTCTATTTCGTGCCAAACGGATTTGACGTGGGTTACATCTGACCAACCAGTGAATACAGATACTACACGATCTCAATCTCTCACTTTGGCAACATCTTCCTCCCAGACTGCCACTCAGTCACAAGCTGAGGTTGATCAAGCTGCTGTTGATATTGCTGTACCTGTTGAAACGTCACAAAAACAACGCAAACGCCTAAATCGTAAAAAACAATCATCACAGAGCTCTTCTCCTTTAGAGGTACCTGTAACTGTTGAAGTTCATAACTCATTTGACCCTCTGGAGATGGAGGTGACTCCATCGTCAGAACACAGAAATAGAAGTCCATCTTCCTCCCGTGGCCGTGAGAGATCCCCCATAGAACCTCCATGAACCAATCTCTTAATGTCATTCAGTGGAATTGTAGAGGACTTAGGAATAATTTTAATGAAGTACAGTTATTAGCACAAGATTATAAGCCTTCAGCATTTAGTTTGCAGGAAACCTATCTTAAGCAAACTGATAAATTTGAAATGCGTCAGTACAATTCATATCATTCTTTCTCCCCACCAGGTGATAAAGCCACTGGGGGTGCTTCAATTTTGGTGAAGCAGGGCATTATCCACAGCCCTGTTTCTCTTAACTGTAATCTTCAGGCTGTTGCTGTCCGTCTTACCTTACACATTACCTTCACACTTTGTTCAGTATACATTTCTCCATCTTCGAATCTTCAGCAGTCCGTTCTTCAGGATTTATTTGACCAGCTCCCTAAGCCCTGTATCATCATGGGTGATCTTAATGGTCATAACCCTCTATGGGGCAGTTCAAATACTAACACTAAAGGGAAAGTCCTCGAAGATTTTATTTCTAATAATAATCTATGCATATTCAACGACGGCTCAAACACATATTTACATCCTGCAACTGGTACGTATTCTGCATTAGATCTGTCAGTCACAGATTCTAACATATATAATGAATTTGAATGGTCGGTCCATGATGACCTCTGTGGCAGTGATCATTTTCCGACGGTACTTACAGCTGTAAATCCCACAGATGCTCCACCTTCAACACGATGGAATTTTTCAAAAGCCAATTGGCCATTATTTCAGACTATGTGTATTGACAAATTGAAACCAAACCATTTCATTGATGTCCCTGATCCAATTCAATCATTCTCTGACATACTGAAGAACATAGCTGATGAATCTATTCCTAAGTCCTCTATGAACTCACATATTCGGAAACCATGGTTTAATGACGAATGCAAACAAGCTAGGAAGCGTAGGAAGAAGGCAGAGAAATACTTTCGACGCCATCCTACTGTACATAATTTAAACACTGTGAAAATTAATTCTGCCAAGGCTCGACGAACATTTAAACACAATAAACGTCAGTCTTGGAAGAAATATGTTTCTAAAATAAATTCACGCACGCCTATGTCAAAGGTATGGAACATGATCCAAAAAATCAAAGGCAAGGGTTCTAAATCTTGCATTCGTCATCTTAAAGATGACAATAATTTATTGACGGAAAAATCAGATATTGCTAATAAATTGGGCGAAACTTTAGCTAAACATTCTTCTTCGTCAAATTATAATCCAAAGTTTCAGAAGTATCAACAACAACAAGAGAAGAAAAACGTTAATTTTAATTCTGATAACGGCGAAGATTATAATGAAGTTTTTTCACTAAATGAACTACACACTGCTTTAGCACAAGCTCATGATACTGCGACTGGTGCTGATGATATTCATTATCAGCTCTTAAAACACTTGCCTGATTCTTGTCTTACAACGCTACTGAATATTTTTGATCATATATGGACAACTGGACATTTTCCTCCTTCATGGAGAAATGCGATAGTTGTACCCATACCAAAACCTGGCAGGGATCATACCGATCCGTCAAATTATCGACCTATTTCATTAACTAGCTGTGTTTGTAAAACCATGGAGCGCATGGTAAATAATCGATTAGTTTGGTTTTTAGAAACCAATAATCTGATTAGTAACATCCAATGTGGTTTCCGTAAAAACCGAAGTACAATTGATCATTTGGTTCGTTTAGAATCATTTGTTAAAAGTGCTTTTGTAAATAAACAGCATGCTGTATCTATCTTTTTCGATCTTGAAAAAGCTTATGATACCACTTGGAAGCATGGTATTTTAAAAGATTTACATGACTTTGGTTTAAGAGGCCGCTTGCCTCAATTTGTATCACAGTTTTTAACTGACAGACAATTTCAAGTTCGTGTTGGATCAACCCTGTCTGATCATTATAATCAGGATCAGGGGGTTCCACAGGGCAGCATTTTGTCTGTCACTTTGTTTAGCATCAAAATAAATAGTTTATCTAAAGTATTAAATGACTCAATAGATGGGTCATTGTTTGTAGATGATTTTAATATTTCATGTCGTGGTCAAAATATGCATACCATTGAAAGACAGTTACAGTTGTGTCTTAATAAAATTAATAAATGGTGTCTTGAGAATGGATTTAAGTTTTCACAGACCAAAACAAATTGTATTCATTTTTGTCGGAAATATAAACTCCATAAAGATCCAGACCTCTCTTTAGATGGCACTCCAATTAAGGTTGTTAAAGAAGCCAAATTTTTGGGATTAATTTTCGACCACCATTTGACGTTTTTGCCACATATCAAATATTTAAAGACTAAATGCCTGAAGGCCCTAGATCTGTTAAAAGTCGTCTCGAATTCTAAGTGGGGAGGGGATCAGACAACCCTCCTTCACCTTTATAGATCATTGATTCGTTCTAAATTAGATTATGGCTCCATTGTATATGCTGGAGCTTGCAAGAGCAATTTAAAAAAGCTCGATTCAATCCACCACCAAGGACTCAGACTGTGTCTTGGTGCTTTTAGAACTTCTCCTGTTGACAGCCTCTATGTCGAGGCTGATGAACTCCCTTTGAAACAACGCCGTGTTAAATTGTCTCTTCAATATATCACTAAATTACACTCTAATCCTTCTAATCCTGCTTATGACTCCGTTTTTCAACCCCTATATGAAGAGCTGTTTCAGAAAAAAACAAAGCTGATTCCACCACTTGGAATTCGGATGAAATCACATATTATTGCTGCAAATATAGATCTTGATATTATCTCACCATATCGTCTCTTGTCTACTCCTCCCTGGCAGCTGGTGAGGCCAGAAGTAGATGTTTCTCTAACCCGTTTCATTAAATCTGACACCAATCAACTTATATATCAACAGGAATATGTAGAACTAAGAAATAAATATGACACCCACCGTTCAATCTTTACTGATGGATCCAAGGATGGTGGCAAGGTGGCATGTGCCACTGTCGTTGGATCAAAACATATCTCATCTAGAATACCAGACACTAGCTCTATTTTCACTGCTGAGGCCAATGCTCTTCTTACAGCCTTAAAATACATTCAACGACAGTCTGCATATAAACAATTTATCATCTTTTCTGATTCTTTGTCCTGCCTTCAGGCACTGAAAAAAGTCTCCTCTAATCATCCAATTATTTTAAACATTTTAGAACTTTATAATGATCTTTCAACTGGCCAATACGACATCGTCTTTTGTTGGTTGCCCAGTCATGTGGGCATAACAGGCAACACAATGGCTGATGCTGCAGCTAAAGCAGCACTCAATAAATCTGTGACACCACTTCTTCTTCCCTACAGTGACTATAAACCTGTTATCCGTTCTTACATCAGAAATCTAATGCAGAAGAAGTGGGACACCCAAGTGGGTATAAATAAATTACATGCAATAAAACCAAATATCGGTTATACCTACTTGGGTTGTCAGTCCAGGTTTGAAGAGGTCATTGTCCGACGATGTCGTATTGGCCATTCAAGATATACACATGAGTATCTATTGAAAGGTGAGGATCCACCGTTTTGCATCCCTTGTGATGAAAGAATCACGGTCAAGCATGTCCTGCTTGACTGTGTTGATTTTGCCATCACAAGGGATAACTATTTCAAATCTTCATCTCTAAAGGATCTTTTTAATAATATCAGTTGTCATTTAATTGTTGGATTTTTAAAAGAAATAGAACTTATTGATAAATTTTGATTGTGTACATAGTTGATTTTTATAATATTGGTAGTGTTTAATGAGTAACATAGATGGTTAGTGGCTGTATCCTCAAAGGGGGTTGAAGTAGTGTAAAATTATTGTCCCCCTGAGAGGATATGTAAGACCACGTCCTGAAAGTACGTTTATTCATACCACTGTTTTTAAACGTAGTATATTTGTTTTGTTTTAATTATGGCTTAATTGCGTACCATCGCCAGCTGCTGAAGGGATGGTGTAAATCCTGCTGGGGAGCCATGCAGGTAGCAGACGTATTGTAAGTCCCCACGGGCCCCAGTTAGGTGGCCTAACTTTGGTTGCTGGCGATCTTTAGCCCGTTTTTTATGATGTATTGTTGAATAATAGGTTATTCTTTTAATTGTTCTAAACTAGTTTTACTTCTAAACTGTGATATGCTAGTTGTTCTACTGTCCGTCGATGACAGGTGTTTTATTCTATGTCAGTATCATAAATGTTCTCGTCACGATATGGCTGAAATATTGCCGATGTGACGTAAAGCTTTAACTCACTCACTCACTCACTCATGATTTTGTTTCGCAAATACATTAAATGTGTTTATTCAAGTATCATGACACAAAATTTAACTCATTTTAACTTAATTCAACGATTTTATAGCGATATTGAAATATTTCGCCCATGGGCGAGAAAAAGGTTTGGCCCATGGGCGAGAACATGTTTCTTTACTCAAAACTCATGTTTTTCTTTCGCAAATACATTAAATGTATTCATTCAAGTATCATGACACAAAATTTAACTAATTTTTACTTCATTCAACTATTTTACGGCGTTATTAAAATATTTCGCCCATGTTTTCGTCAGTCCCTTTCAAGCATCAACTAACTGTTTGCAAAGTATATTGTATCATGTGAAATATACTTTATATTATATCATTACATTACTATTTAAAAAGGGCTTTTGGTTGGATGTTTCCTTTAGTTCTACAAATTTCACCTGTTTTACATATTGTAGCGATCTTTAATGAACCCGGCCTTACCTCTCAAAACGTTTTGACAGTTTATCATACGAATTCATGTGCGTGTACTCAAATTCATTGGAGTTATTTTCCACAACATTAAATTTTAGTTAGTTTCTATTTCATTTCCCCTTTTTATGTCCCGTTGATACATCACACTGGGCAATTACGTGACACTAGGTATGCAATATATAGGTACGCGTGCGCGTATTTTAATGAAAAAAACTATTCGTCTTTTATTGCATAACGTTTGGCTGAATATCTTACATTCTAACGAAATCTCGAAATAATTATTTAATTACATGCGGTTTCGAACTGAC